CGGAATGAATTCGACAGGAATGTTATGATATATTTCAAATTTCTCAGGATTTATATTCTTCTTCAACATATTTCATCATCTGAAGCAGCGTCCCTCGACCAGCATCTGATTATGATTCCAGCTGGATCGTACCAATTTCTTTTAATGCAGTCTCTCCGTCCAGATAAGTTTTCATTACGCTCCAAATTGCCTCACTAACGTCGTCAAGTGGTTGGGAAGCGTCTACGACCTGTTCAAAGAAAATCTCATTTACTCATTATTTCCAGCGAAAATGTTCCATATTTCGGTAAAGTTTTCCTCATAAGTGACAAAAAACACATTAAAAGAATGATTTTCCAATGAATTTTGATTAGGAATCCAATTTTCTCAATACTGACAAAATTTTCAGCGTTCCATGCACTGCCTACTCGGGAAAGAACTTCGGATTCTTGACCGTTTGCTATAGTTCAGTCCTATTCTCTAGGAAGTTCATCCAGTAAACTTGGAATGTTGAGTAAAAATAAAAATCTGAACACATACCTTCCATATGTCGTGGTTTTGCTCACCTAACTTCTTCATTATCTCGTAAACTCGGCACTGATATTCATAGGATTCCAAACGTTCACCTCCGTAGCCACTGCGTTTCGCTGCCACCTCAGGTGACAAATCAAAGAAGAATACACAATCTGGCCTCAACATACCCACATCGTGCAATTTAGCCCATTCCAAACTGATGTTTTTTTCTGCAAAATATAAATTTTTTAAAGGCTGACACAATGCTAATTTTTTTTTGCTTACTTTCTTGTTAAAAATTCTCCGCAATTCTTCGCAAGTCAAACAGAAATGAATTTCTAGAGAGTGGTGCGCAATCACAATCCCAAATAAATTCACAAAATCCTCGATTAACTTCAGAATTGGAAATTATTTTAAAGTAATCTTCAACTTTTCAGCGGTAAAACAAATATTCAGGCTGATGACTGGATAATGTCAAAACTGAAATGAATTTTAACGAAAGTAAAAAAAAAACCTTTTGCGACGGTATAAGCTATACCCGAATACGCGAATCGATCAACGATTAAGCTGATGCCTTTTTCAAGTTTTTCACGCATTCTCTTCACCAACGCATGACGATTCGCTGCGAATAGCAGGTGAGCTTCACGTGCTTCCAGCTCAACCTGACCTTTCAGATATTGGTCGATAAATTTTCCGAGGTCACTGGATCGGTCTAAAATCGAAAAAACAATGCAAAGAACTCTCAGCGAAAGTCGCCTGAACTTATCGACCATCGAACGGTGGGTGATACATACAAAGTCACTGCAGAGAGTAAAGTTAATCAATAAATAGTGTGCTGGGCATAGTGCGTTCTTGAATTTTCATTTATTCAAACATAAATTCTGTTTGAAAAATGATCCGCTTTGAAGATTTCCAATGAGATATGCAAGTGTCACAGAAAAACCCAACAATGAAGAAAACTGAAGAAAAATGTAAGAAAAAATAGAAAATTCACCTGGAAATGCGATTAATTCCGCTTGTCGGCCATATTCCTGTATCCTTTTCAGCAATCTTCGCGCTTGAGTGGATTTCCCGACTCGATCGCATCCTTCAAAGACGAATAAAGCACCCCTGGACATTGGTTGTTCAAGCAGTTTTAAGCGATAAATTTGACTTAACTGATTAACTGGTAAATTTAGTTCAGTTAGTTTAACTAACTGATAAAATCGACGACGAACAGACTGCTTAAAGCCGTTGAGTTGTCGTTTTTATTTTCACTTTCAAAAAGTCGTTGAACTTTAGTCAATGTTCGGCTTAAGATGTAGAATTTCAGTTGTGCAAACACAAGCGCGTTCACATAAGATATACCACGACACAATCGCTGAGGGATTACGGCACTGCAATGAGGGATTTATCATCTAACTGCTTTCATCTTGCTATCAAGATATTGCTTTTTTGAGCACTTTAGTTAGGCGAGAAATAAACAGACACTTCGTCAACGCTAGTCTCTTCACTTTATCTGAAGTGATTTGAAATTACTGATTTGAAATGCTCCCATAATTTCAACCGGATTATCCGGGCTCATATTTCAGAATAAATAATGAAAGGAATATCATTTGAAGCAGTTGACCAGGCGATTCGAATGATACCATACCCAGACTTATTGATAGGAAATGAAGCAATAGCTTTGACTCACCTGAATCTCAAGAGCACGAAAAACTATTGCTAAATCCTATATTCAAGTCAACCACGTATTCAAATTATTAACCTCGAATCTTGTCCATAGACGAGTGATTTTTTTTTTTAGTGGAGGAGGGGGGAGTTTGAATCAATAGGACTGGTTCTACAGTGAAGAGAAGCATATCAATTGTCAATGGAAAATGGGTGCTTTTACAAAACTAACTCCAAATCTATTGAGTTTTTCATAGGTTTCTGCTGAGAGTTTGCAGATTTTGCAAAAAAATCCATTAAAATCCTGTTCTCCAGAACGTCATCAATAGAAATTTCCCATAAAATTTATTGCCTCAGTCAAAGATTTAAAAAAGTCTCGCTCACGTCATCNGTTATATTTATTGCTTTTTGGTTAGAATATGACGCAGAATGATATCAGAACAATGTCATCATATCCCATCAAACTTTTCTCCATGCAATAAATAAAGATAAAACCAATAAAGATAAATAAGTAAGACTAAAACAAATCAATAAGTAAGTAATAAAAACTTTTACCCTATTGAATCAAATAAATAAAGATCTTCACGCTTCAAAGCTATCGCGAACTGCAGAATTAATCCTAACGAAGTCTCATTCAAATGACGTATCACCAAATCAACGTCAGCGAAAGCTAATGTTAGCTGGTTGATATATACCGCAAGTGATATCATTTTCACATCACTGATATCTATCACCATTATTTACGAAGATAAGTGCATCGCATTAAGATGATTGATTGATTGTGATGGATCTTTCGTTAAGAATCAACACAGATTCTTGTCGACATATCGTTTTTCCGCGGAAACAGTCAGCATGGCAAGTTCCTGGCACGAAATGGCAAGTTCCATTGGAATTACGAATCAAGAAGCTCAGTGCGCTCTGAATCACATCGATTTCATTCATTTGATCACATCATCGTTTATTGATTAACATCAGACTGTTTGAAGAATGAAGAATTCACAATGCTCTAATGATCACTCATATCAATTATGAGCATAACACATGCTGATAATATGATAACATTACAGCTATCTTTAAACTGCCCTGATCACTATGCGCTGAATGAACAATCGTTGTGATTATTGGCATTATTATGAGATTGTCATCATAAGTATCCATGCATATCATTGGATCAGTCAGCACCATCTAAAATCGCCATTATTATTCACAAGTTCAACAAATTCCATCGCTATTCACCAACACTCATGTACTCTGAACAAGAATGAATGTGTTTTGATTTATGGTCATCAATCACATTTTCCACTCATTGTCAGTCATTTCAAATACTAATCAATCATCCAAAAAAAACACCTAATCTATTGACAGTCGGCAATAGACTGAACAAATGACGGATCGTATATCCGAACCAACAAACAACAACTCTTCTTTTTGCGGATTTTCGATTGCATCATCCTAAATTTCATTCCATTTCATTCAGTCATTGTCGGTAAAGATACACAATGATAATGAAAATACATCTTCTCTCATCAAGAACTGCGATAAAAATGTATGATATGCTCACTAGTTCTTTTAGAATGCCTAAGAAACGTCTTAACATAACAATTTCTTAACATAACAACTGGAAATGCTACCACTTCCACTTTTTACATTATTACATCTATATTATTGCTATTTTCCCTATCATCATCCAATGGGAATTCATCAAAAAAATCGGCGACTGTATGGTCAAATAAAAATGTACAGCAAAAACTCGACAACTGCATCATTCAAGAACGATTTAACGGACTCACTGAACTGACTTATCAAGTAAAAGTTCGGAGTTCATTCAGAACTCACTAAACACCAAAATATGTGTACTTGATGAACTTGACATTGTGTACTTGACGCACTCCCATTGAACACCATCAATGTATAAAGGCAATTGAAATGTTCATCAATCAAGCAGTTTCGCTTGATTAGCTGAGCATCGTAATCGCCTCAGTGCTTAGCTGTGTTCAGCTGCGGCGATTGAAGATTACTTCAACACTTCGAAAAATTTTAATCTTCACGGTTCCATTACTTCAGTTTTCTACTCGAAATATTCCTATTCTTCAATTGTGAACCTCACGGTCCTTTTCCTATATAAAACTGCGTATATTTAAACCAGCGAACTTATACTCTTTTACTGTTATTAACGATTTTACTTATCTATCGAACAATTAAAAATAATTTTGATCTTAGGGCGATATTTTTCCCATTGTTTCGCAATGGAGCTGATATTAACCTCTTATCAGCTGTCTTCAATAGAATAGAATATTTTTTAGTGTGGGCATGATTATGGAAATGCTTTATGAAGAATATTTCAACAGAATATTTTCAATTATCGCCATTTGTAATCTAACGTCTTCATCTCCTTCTCTCATACACGTGAAATTCTTAATTTTTTATCGCACATACTTTTTTCTCATGCTAAATGCTCTTAAAGACACTAAGATTCTAGCTATAAACAAACAACAATCCAAATAATTATTAACGATTTTACTTATCTATCGAACAATTGAAAATAATNATCTTTTTTAGTGTGGGTATGATTATGGAAATGCTTTATGAAGAATATTTCAACAGAATATTTTCATTTATCGCCATTTGTAATCGAATGTCTTCATCTCCTTCTCTCATACACGTGAAATTCTTAATTTTTTATCGCACATACTTTTTTCTCATGCTAAATGCTCTTAAAGACACTAAAATTCCAGCTGTAAACAAACAACAATCCAAATAATTCGTCTGATCATCGAACAATTAATTCCATTTGTGATCATCCAAACAAGCGACGAAACAACGATCGCATCGTATCCGCAGCTCACAAACCAAACAAAATGTCAATTTCTGCAACTCCAACCCAAATTCTGGCCATCTACAGTGGTATGGCCGGTTTTGCCTACATTGAAACGGATCAGTTCCGTAAAGCTGTCCCATTGCTATTCGTTTTGCCTTTCCTTGTCCTGTCGGCACTCACGTTGACTCTATCGATGAAAAGCCGGCAGAAATTCTTCACTGCAGCTTCGTTCCTTGTTTCTGGTCAGTTTCAGAGTTCAACTCTCTCACAATCAGATATATTGGTTTTATGAATTGTCGCGAAATTTCTATTGTTATTTTCAAATAGCAAATGTAACAAAATTTTGCACAGTAGCACTTGCATGATTTCATGACACCATCGAGTGGTGGGGGGCAATTCTCACAATCAGCTAAACGTCAAACATCAGCGGTATTCAACAAAAATGGCCACCTTCAGAGGAATATGAAAATTTCGAGATATGTATCTATCAACCAACTGGGCACTTCGATTATATCAATTAGCATAAGCTATTGATCAATCATAGGACAGAAATATTTGCTCGAAAATGCCGCACAGAATCTACAGATGATTTTTGAAACATGACTAGAGGCACAGAAAGAGTGACTTTTTTCATTTTATCAAACATCAAACAATTTTTTGCTGTCATCGAACTGAGGAGATCCTGAGTTACAAAAAAAATAATTTGCGTTCTCAATGCGAGATTTTTCTTTTTTTAATATTCCTATATTTCTTCCAAATTTTTCAATTTTCCAATATTTTGAAGCGCTGATTTGGCCAATATTTTCAGCGTGTGCTCTATACGTGTTCACTTTAAACCGTCGTGAGTTGGCTCTGGTTTGCTTGATGGGCTCCATCTCGCACATACTCTACGTAATGTCGTTCTTGCCTCATGTGCGACGAGTATGGATGAGTCTGGGTGTTGTGCTTGGCGTATACCTTACGGCAATCCTTTATCACTGTTTTGCCGATCTATACGTCTCGATTCCCACTCTCGTATTCGCCTCATCACTCCTTCTTTGTGTGGCATCCAGTTCAGTGCTGGCCGCTGGGTCGGTTTGGTATTATGAATCGAGAGGTTCCCATTCAGTTCAGGTATCTATCTTATCCATTGTTACCTTCACATTATCCTTACTAGATATAAACTGCTTGGTCTACTCAACCGGGCGAAGACACGACCAGTGTTCACTCAGATCAAATGTAATCTCATCAACAGATCAGAAAAGAGTATGCAATTCGACTCACGATCAGTCAGTCACTGAAATACTCGAAAATTTTTGCTATATGACCTAAAATTAATTTCAGGCTGCTGCTCTACGCTTTCTGGGGATGCTGGCATGTCTGGCGTGTAGTTCCGTCCTTATTCTGAATCAATTCGGTGCACGATTCGATCGATCCAATTACATGCTCACCATTCTGCACTACGTTTCCCAAGGCCTTCTCTTTCTGGCCAATGAAGAAACCTTTTGAAATGGTCATCAAAAGTGGTTCAGTGTTAAAAAATTGCATTATTCCTCTTATAGAGGAGAAGAATATTCGGAATTTTGATTGTTTCTGAATTGTAAAAACGAATTCATATTGAAGTTTGTATATATGTAATTACGTTTTATTTCGAAGAAAAGTATCAGTCATTAAAAGTTGTGATATCACTGATGTATGTACAAAAAATGAGCTTTTTTGAAGCTTGTCTTCTAAATTTTGATTCGTTTCATTTTCAGAGCTTATTTTAACTCAATAATGATATTTGTTACAATTGTTGTTATTGTAACCATTACTGTTATTATTCCTCCAATCCTAGTCGATAGGCGATAGTTTTGGTGCTTATCTTTTAAATGTACATATGCATTTATATTTCTCTATTATTTTGGAGTGTAATATTTATGGGCTTTTATTTTAAATTGCATTTACAATTGAATGGACCAACCATTCCGTCGGTTTGTTGCATTGCAATGAAGAAATAAAATTTAAAAACTTAATTTTTTTCACAAGAAATCGGGCGAAAAACAGCGATTTTTCAAGAGTTTCTTAAGAGTGATACCAAAAATCATTACGCAAAATAATCTACACGAAGATCAAATATGAATTCTATTGAACATTTGATTAAAACATTGAAAAATTTTAAAAATTCAAATACTCTGATAAAACTTCTAAGGATTCTTTTGACTCTTTAAAATCGAAAATCAAAATGTTTTCCTTTTTTAACCCATAATAAGACAGCAACAATTAGATTTCAAAACGTCTTCGGTAAAACCATAACGTTGACTCGTTTCGCGTCATCATCGGACGTGAACTTTGATTGATAAGAAGGAGATGACGAAATGAATAAAGCTGATAAGGGTATCGGTATGTCTTAAATAGTGTTCTATCGATGAACAACCCTCTAATCTATAAATGTCAACTTCTTGAAGTGTTACTTTATTGTCGAATGTCAATGTGCCGACAACGACACATTGAATTTGTTTGTTTTTGAGAGCTTTTAGCGTGTTTGTTGCACCTGTTATTGATAAGCTATCGTTCACGTTTCTAATTTCACTTCATAGATCCTCAATACTGCCCCATGTTTTCACCGGAGAGATTCAGTAGCAAGATTTACTTCCAACTCAGAACTCTATTCTGATTTCTTATCGTCTTATCGTTACTACAATGGACACAACAAAAATCTCGGAATGGAGGGTAAAAACTCCCAACTAAAAATCAGTAGTAACGAAATATAGCAAAATATATGAAATCCTAAATCCGGTTTCATTATAAAGATATCTCAAATTATCCTCGTTCATTATCGCCAAGCATCTCCAATATCTGAAAGTCAAAAACTCAATAAAAACATCACAATCTTATTGATGTTCTCTTTGTTCCATCATAAAATTCATATGGAAAAGTTCGAAAATCAGTCATTACGCATATTTGTGGAA